TGATGGCACCAACCTTGGGTTGATGACCCAAACCCTCTTGGGTGATGGCACCAAACCCTTGGGAGATGCCACCAACTTCCACCAACCCCTCTTGGGTGATGGTGATGGACTGAGCCGTGAACTCGTCGTCGAAGTAACGGGTGTCGATCTCCGAGGTCACCTGGGGCTTGAAGGGGGGCACGAGCTGGTGGGGAGAAGAAGAAGTTGGGGGGGTGGAGAAGTTGGGTCATCGACCCCTTGAAGAACCCCCCAAATCCCACCTCAAAAAAAGCGCCCCCCACCTTCTTCTGCACCACGTCCTGCCAGTTGATGGGGGCGAAGAACCGATGCTCCATCACCTCCTTGGCGTCGTTGGGGCCTCCTCAGGGGGGGGTGGTTTATGGCTTCCAAAATGTGTCCCGTCCCCCCCCACCCCAATTTTTGGGGAGAAAACCACCCCTTTTGGTGGTGAGGGAACCCCCAAAATCATCATCATCATCACCATCGTCGTCGTCGTCGTCGTTGCCATCGTCGTCCTGCGGGGGGCGTCACTCCCGGATGCTGGCGGAGTAGGAGAACTGGGGGAAATGGGTGCGTTGGTCGTTCTCCAAGGAGCCCAAGGTGTCATCTGTGGGGTGGGGGTGGGGTGAGGGGGGAGGAAGAAGATGGTGGAAGCTTCTTCAAGCCACCCGAGATCCACCACGTCAGCCCCGAAAGGCAACGAGGAGGAGGAGGTTGGGTCGTGGAGGGGGATGGTGATGGCACCAAACCCTTGGGAGATGCCACCAAACCCTTGGGTGATGGCACCAAACCCTTGGGTGATGGCACCAACCCTCTTGGGTGATGGCACCAACCCTTGGGAGATGCCACCAAACCCTTGGGTGATGGCACCAACCCTCTTGGGTGATGGCACCAACCCTTGGGAGATGGCACCAACGTTGGGTGATGGCACCAACCTTGGGTTGATGCCCCCAACATCCATGGGGTGATGGCACCAATGTTGGGTTGATGACCCCAACCCTCTTGGGGCACCAAACCCTTGGGAGATGCCACCAAACCCTTGGGTGATGGCACCAAACCCTTGGGAGATGGCACCAAACCCTTGGGTGATGACCCCAACCCTCTTGGGTGATGCCACCAACCTTGGGTTGATGACCCCAACTTCCACCAACCCCCCTTTGGGTGATGCCACCAACTTCCACCAAACCCCTTGGGTGATGGCACCAACCCTCTTGGGGTGATGCCACCAACATTGGGTGATGGCACCAAACCCTTGGGAGATGGCACCAACCTTGGGAGATGGCACCAACGTTGGGAGATGGCACCAAACCCTTGGGTGATGCCACCAACCTCCTTGGGTGATGGCACCAAACCCTTGGGTGATGGCACCAAACCCTTGGGAGATGCCACCAAACTCACATCGATCCGGGGGGGTGATGGTGATGGACTGAGCCGTGAACTCGTCGTCGAAGTAACGGGTGTCGATCTCCGAGGTCACCTGGGGCTTGAAGGGGGGCACGAGCTGGTGGGGAGAAGAAGAAGTTGGGGGGTGGAGAAGATGGGTCATCGACCCCTTGAAGAACCCCCCAAATCCCACCTCAAAAAAAGCGCCCCCCACCTTCTTCTGCACCACGTCCTGCCAGTTGATGGGGGCGAAGAACCGATGCTCCATCACCTCCTTGGCGTCGTTGGGGCCTCCTCCGAGCCTTGGGGGGGGACACGAAGGAACATCATCAACCACGGGGACGTCAACCATGGGGTCACCACCACCTTGAAGCCCACCCCAAGAAAAAGGGGGGGACACCCCCCAATGTCTCACCTCTGTTTGGGGTCTTTCTTGAGCAGCCCGGCCAGGAGGGCCTTGGCCTCGGGGCTGAGGGTGCGGGGGAAGCGGATCTCCTCCATGAGGATGAGCTCGAAGAGGCGCTCGTGGTCCTGGTTGTAGAAGGGGAGGCGGCCGCACATCATCTCGTACATCACCACCCCCAGGCCCCACCAGTCCACGGCCCGACCGTAGTCGTTGTCCTCCAGGACCTGGCGGTGGGGAGAGGGTGGGGGGAGAAGAAACACATGAGGATGGTGGCTGGTGAGGATGAAGAACGGAAGAAGCAGGTGGCCAAGAGTAGAAGAACCAGGTGGTCGAGAGTAGAAGAACCAAGAGGCCAAGAGTAGAAGAAGCAGGTGGCCAAGAGTAGGAAGAACCAGGTGGCCAACAGTAGAACTGGATGGTCAAGAGTAGGAGGAAGCAGCGGGTGGCCAAGAGGAGGAAGAACCAAGAGGAGGAGGAAGGAGGTGGCCAAGAGGAGGAGGAAGTGGGTGGCCAAGAGTAGAAGAACCAGGTGGCCAAGAGTAGAAAGAAGAGGGTGGCCAAGAGTAGAAGAAGCAGGTGGCCAAGAGGAGGAGGAACCAAGAGGCCAAGAGTAGAAGAAGCAGGTGGCCAAGAGTAGAAGAACTGGATGGCCAAGAGTAGAAGAACCAAGAGGCCAAGAGGAGGAAGAATGGGATGGCCACGAGGAGGAAGAACGGGATGGCCAAGAGTAGAAGAACCAAGAGACCAAGAGGAGGAAGAACCGGGTGGCAAAGAGTAGGAAGAACCAAGAGGCCAAGAGTAGAAGAACCAGGTGGCCAAGAGGAGGAAGAACGGGATGGCCAAGAGTAGAAGAACCAAGAGACCAAGAGGAGGAAGAACCGGGTGGCAAAGAGTAGGAAGAACCAAGAGGCCAAGAGTAGAAGAACCAGGTGGCCAAGAGGAGGAGGAAGTGGGTGGCCAAGAGTAGAAGAACCGGATGGCCAAGATTAGGAAGAAGAGGGTGGCCAAGAGTAGAAGAAGCAGGTGGCCAACAGTAGAAGAACTGGATGGCCAAGAGTAGGAAGAACTGGATGGCCAAGAGTAGAAGAACGGGATGGCCAACAGTAGAAGAACTGGATGGCCAAGAGTAGGAAGAACTGGATGGCCAAGAGGAAGAAGAACGGGATGGCCAAGAGGAAGAAGAACTGGATGGCCAAGAGTAGGAAGAACTGGATGGCCAACAGTAGAAGAACCAGGTGGCCAAGAGGAAGAAGATCCGGGTGGCCAAGAGGAGGAAGAAGAGGGTGGCCAAGAGGAAGAACCAGGTGGCCAAGAGTAGAAGAATGGGATGGCCAAGAGGAGGAAGCGGAGGGCCAAGAGGAGGAAGAAATGGATGGCCAAGAGTAGAAGAACGGGATGGCCAAGAGTAGAAGAACCAGGTGGCCAAGAGGAAGAAGATCCGGGTGGCCAAGAGGAGGAAGAAGAGGGTGGCCAAGAGGAAGAACCAGGTGGCCAAGAGTAGAAGAATGGGATGGCCAAGAGGAGGAAGCGGAGGGCCAAGAGGAGGAAGAAATGGATGGCCAAGAGTAGAAGAACCAGGTGGCCAAGAGTAGAAGAACCGGTTGGCCAAGAGGAGGAAGAAACAGGTGTCCAACAGTAGAAGAACGGGATGGCCAAGATTAGGAAGAAGAGGATGGCCAAGAGGAGGAAGAAGAGGGTGGCCAAGAGGAAGAACCAGGTGGCCAAGAGTAGAAGAATGGGATGGCCAAGAGGAGGAAGCGGATGGCCAAGAGGAGGAAGAAATGGATGGCCAAGAGTAGAAGAACCAAGAGGCCAAGAGGAGGAAGAACCAGGTGGCCAAGAGGAGGAAGAACTAGATGGCCAAGAGGAGGAAGAACGGGATGGCCAAGAGTAGAAGAACCAGGTGGCCAAGAGTAGAAGAACCGGTTGGCCAAGAGGAGGAAGAAACAGGTGGCCAACAGTAGAAGAACGGGATGGCCAAGATTAGGAAGAAGAGGATGGCCAAGAGGAGGAAGAAGAGGGTGGCCAAGAGGAAGAACCAGGTGGCCAAGAGTAGAAGAACCAGATGGCCAAGAGGAAGAAGAATGGGATGGCCAAGAGTAGAAGGAACGGGATGGCCAAGAGTAGAAGAACCAAGAGGCCAAGAGGAGGAGGAAGTGGGTGGCCAAGAGTAGAAGAAGCAGGTGGCCAAGAGTAGAAGAACCGGTTGGCCAAGAGGAGGAAGAAGAGGGTGGCCAAGAGGAGTAGGAAGGAGAAGAGAAACCCCCTCTAGATGCCACCACCCCCTCAACTCCTGGCAAATCAGCCCCAATCCTGATTTGGGGAATAAAGATGGAAACAAAAAAGCTCCGTTTTCCTGAAAACGAGGAATTTGGGGGCGAAAGTTGGAATTTGGGCCCCATGAAACCCTTTGCCACCAACCCAGTGCAGGAGCACACCAGGCTGTTTGGTGCCCCAGCAGAGACACATTGCCAGAGGAGGAACCAGGGGTCATTTGCTGCCAGAAATCCCCTTAGATACTAGCAGGTGCCCATAAAGTTGTCTATAGGCTGCTTTCAAGCTCAGCCCAAGCATCTGCCCCGAGTGTAGCTGCTTCTTCTGGAACTGTCTGGGGGTCCCGCAGAAGGTCTTCATGGTGGCCCCATCCGAGATGCCCTCCTTGCAGAGCCCGAAGTCCGTGATCTTGATGTGCCCGTCCTTGTCCAACATGAGGTTCTCCAGCTGGTAAAAAGAAGGAAAACGACCCAAAAATCAAAAAAAAGGAGGAAATTGGGAAAAAAGGTGGAATGGGGGGAAGGGGATGGATTTTTGGGGACAAGGAGGTCCATGGGGTGGTGTCACCACGAAGGTGCCACCTCCCCGGGGGGCAGCTCCCTCCCTCCTGCCTCCACCAGAGGGGAAATGACTCGATTTTGGGGGAAAAACCCAACTTTTGCGTCAACGTCAACGGGAGCGAAACTATTGCCAGGCTCCTCGGGGTGGTTTTTTGGGGGTTTTTGGGTTTTTTGGGGGGGTTTTTTGTTTTTTTTTTTTTTTTTTTTTTTTTTTTTTTTTTTTTTTTTTGTGGGGTTTTGGTTACCGAAAAGCCCCTTCCGCCAA